ATTCATTTTAGGGATCAAAATAAGGTAATTCTATATCTGAACACCTTCAGTCCCAAAGATCATCAAGAACTTCAGTCTAATCTCTCTTAGGGCTGAAGGATATTCAGATAGGGGCAACTGTCATAACCCCATTTTTACCCCCAAGATTTCATTAATCATGATACATTTCATACATATCATATACATCTCATTTCAAGAATTGTGGAGATCATAGGCCAAGGAGGCCCTATCTGTTCAAGGAGACCCCTCTTCTGAGGCTTGTAGCCCAAGTGCTAGTGTTTATTCATGATATAAAGTTTTCATTTGAAGTTCACTAACTTTGTTTGTCAAGTTTTTCAGGTACATGAGTCCCTTAAAGCAATTCATGCCACCTAGGGTTTTGAAAGTCCAACTGCATACCCCAACTTCTAGAGGCTCTATATTCCACATGGAAGAAGATATGAGGGTGATTATTTTTGCCATGGATTCATCATTGAGTCTATTTTGTATATTACAAGTCCTCATCATTCAAATTTTCCATTCAAGGCATTTTTGAAGCCAAGGTTCCCAGACAGTGCAAAGCAGTCAAATTAGGGTTTCTGAGCAGTTTGAGCCCTACATGAAGAAGGACACATCAATTTTGGTTGAGATTTTGTATACATGGAGGATTTGAGGTCATATTAACCATGATAAGAAAGTGTGATCAAGATTCATTCAAGAAGTACAAAGTTCATCACCAGTTGAGAAGTTACTATTTTGGGCATTTGTCAAGAAAAGTCAACCCAACTTTGACCAGGGCTATTTTCCTCATACTTTATCAGAAATTCATCAACCATATCTCATTTTAAAGGGAATTCAATTCTCTACAACATCGGTACTGGTTTCATTTCCCAAAAAAATGCTTCATTTGGAGTGTAGAGGGCAAAACATTACAGGTCATTTTTAGAAGCCCTAAAAAGACACTTTTTTTGTAAAGGACTATAAATGCACATGGAAACTCAAATTGAAATGAGAACAAAAGGGTTCATTATAGGACTCATTGAGCTTTCCAAAAAGTCCAAGAACACCTAAAAATGATAAACATTGAGTGAGATAGAGCTTGTGGAAGTTGGCCAAATTCAGGGATTTTTTGTGAAGAAGAAATGGCTAAAATGACAAAATTTGCTTAATGGGCCTACTTGGCAGGTTGTGAAACGTGTTGGTAAGGGTCTTCAAGCATTCAAGCCCAATCACACATGGTTTTTTTTTATTAAAATTGGATTTTATTTGATTATTATTTTCATTTAATTTTAAATTCAAATCATATCTTTTTGCAATATTTGAAAATAAACCAATTCAAACCAAATCAATCACCATAAACTCATTTGTATCTGATCACAATATCATGTATTTGGCCTTGAATGAAATTGATCCCAAAATAGAAGCTTGAAATCTCACTTTTCAAATCAATTTTTTCTCATTAGTTCCAAGATCAAATCTTCAATTCTAGGTCATTTTGGTTGATTCTTTTTGACCTGATCTCATGTATGATATAAGTAGAGGGAATCTTAATCAAAGTTGGTTGGAAATTCGTACCAGAAATACACACAAATACCTCTCAAAAACCGCACCTTGAATTGTATCAAATTCTCCATTCCAAAGCTTTTCAATCAAAACAAAGCACACTATCACCTTCAACGCATCACTCTGAAGCTAACCCAACAATTCCCAAGCATTGAAACTGCGTGAAACGTAAAACACGATTCAAGTTTTCTCAACTTTTTTCCAATTTCTAATATCCTCATTCATGCATTCTCATCATGATATAATTATATATTTTTGTTTGTCTTGATCTCACGAAGCTTTCTGGATAAGTTTTAGGTGTTTTCATCCACTAATGCGTAATCTGCCATGAACACGTATGAACCCTAGGAATTGGGGTTTTAAAATCCATGAACAATCGGAACTAATGAGATGTATAATTGAATTCAGGAGATGATGGTGAATTGATCTGGGCAAGATTTTTGAGTTTATATAGCGTGTACTAACAACTACGATTTCGTAAGTTTTCTGGTTATTTTTTCCGCAGGTAATTCCATAAAAAGATCCGCAGTAAAATCCGCAGGAAAGTGGAATATATGAAACGAAGAAGACAACGCATACGTGTCTGGGGAGGGCGCGAATTGAATAGTTTTAAATATTTTGTCATTTAGTGCTTTTTTCTTATATTATATTATTAATCTATTATACTTTCAGTTAGTGCGTTTGGTCCAAATGGTTAATGACCTCGCTGGCAACCAACAAAACGCCAGTTTGAATCCTGGCTGCCACAATTTACTTTTTTTAATATTTTGGTTTCATATGTTTTCAGGGATTTGTTTCTTATATTTTAAAGCAAAGGCATTATATTTTCACAAAAGTAAAGTGGCGTGGTTGGCAGGAGCATGGGGTGTTCACCAAAACGTTGTGGGCTCGAGCCCTATGGAGGGCATTTTATATTTTTTAACCTTTGTGTGTTTTTTTGAGTTCTCAGAAAATTATATTTAATATAATTAAATGGAATTATCATATATTCAACCAAACCAAATGGATGAATTGGTGAATGAATTTGTGGGCAATTTCAAGGACAAGGGTTCAAACCCTGTTGGAGGCATATTTTGATTCAATTAATTTTGATCAATAAAGGGAGTTTCATTCATTTTAATTACATGTTTTGATACCTTTAATTAATTTGATATTTTTTGCTCCCTGATTATGTTTTTGTTTACCTTTTTTTCAGGATTCATTTGGCCATCAACAAAGGAAATCCAAGGGAAGTTTCAGTCTATTTTTTATACTTATTTTTAATTCAATTGCAATTATTATATTTACACATACTAACCAATGTTTGTCTCGTCTGTTTTGAAGGAAAATATGCGAGGACAAAAGGATGCGATAAGGATTCGAATACAAGGAGCGAAATAAGGATTCGCGAAGGAAAAGCGCTTTGGAGGGAATGGTGCTCCATGCCATCTACCCAACTAGGGAGGGTTAGAATCCCTCCCTTACCAGGTTTTGAGGGCTTTGCCCGTTTATTTTCTTGTTAATTAGTGGCCAATGCCAATAGGGAAAATTAGAGGCCAATGCCACTAGGGTTTAAAATACCTAAAATACTTGAAAAGCCAAAAACATAATTGTTAATAAAATTGCCCCCTAAGGGGCCAAACCCTAAAATGTGTAAATATTCTCAAGATGCCCTTAGAGGTACCAAAATACAAAAACACTGAAAATACCTAAAAAATACAAATAGACACTAGGGTTTAAACCTAACTTAAATTAGGGTTAAAACTTAGATTAGGGTTCCACACTTTTTGTCCTTTGCACATTTGGGTCTTTTGCCTTTAGTTAATAGGTAACCCTAAAAAATACCAACAAATCTAGTCCCTAAAGATCCGAACTACAAGGATTTTGATCCTCCATTGCACTAGGGAGGTATGTAGGCAAAGAACGCCTACAAGGGTTTTCTCGAATCTTAATAATAAAAATTACCAACCCTAATTCGTTCTCTCATCTCTCTTTCTTCACACAAAATCAATAATAATTATATAATAAAATAATAATAATAATAATAATAATAATAATAATAAAATCCTAAATTATGTGGTTCCTTAGGAGTACCTAAGAAAAGAGGGGTGCCTAACACCTTCCCCTTTTGTAACAAGACACGAATCCCGGATCTTAAGGGTTGTCTATCTTTCCCTCTTCTTAGGAAGTAAAAAGCATAGTGGCAACTCAAAGAACCCCAAAGGCCACACAACGCCTTAGGGATACCCTCAAAAATCGCGCAGCGACAGTAACCATCATTGGGCTTACGCACCATAAAGCTCGGGCCACGAATGTTCGTTTTCCGATTCGGATCAAATGTCGCGCTATGTTAAGCAATCACCAAGTAACTTATATAGAAGTCACCCTACAACGAGGCCGGTCTTGACTATATGTGCTAATGCATGCTTGAGTAATGGTATATAAACCATGCTCGAAAGAAGCAATACCGCACGAAAAGAATAATGGTGAATAGTCTCGTTTCGATCACGATTCAAAGTGAAATCGTATGATCCATAAACGTCATCGACCAAAATAAAGAGAATAAAGATGGAAATGGAAGTATAGGTAAGAGGACTTCACATCTCGAGAAGCGGTGGACTCAAAGACCAAAATAAACAAAAATAAACAAATGATTAAAAGTGAAAATGAACCATATTTACATGATTTTTGGAAATCGGTAGAAACACCTTTGAAAAATTCAGAAAAAAATATAATCAAATACTACATAATATTATAAGCTTAAAATAATTTTTTTGAAAATTTGTGACCATTTTTGGTATTTTAAAACATTTAATAATCATTAAAATATGCTAAATAAAGAGAAAATATTTTTTTAATTTTTTGAGTGGTTAAAAAATAAAATAAAAAATATGACATTAAAGAGAATAAAAAATAAATGGTAGTCTCTTTTTTGAATTTTTTCTGAAAATTATTTTTAATACCTCAAATAAAATAAACAAATAAATCAAAATAAGAAAAGAAATAAAAATGAAATGAGGTGGCATGATATGAATGATTTGCTAATGGTTGGCTAATGATTGGCACAGAAAACAATGCAGAAAAAAGTTTTTCTTCTTCCTACACATAGTAAACACACAATGGATGGTTTTTCAAACTTTCTCAAATCTTCACCAAAAAATAAAAAGTAGATATAGGTTTTCATAGGATTTTTCGCAAGGATTCCAAATATGTGCTTAGATTTCATTTTAGTTAAGTAATAAAAGAGATATATGACAACCTAAGTGAGCAATCAAAAATCAATCTCCCAAATTAGTGCACATCAATGAAAAGTAAGCTCATATTTGGACTTAGCATGCAAAAACAAGTGAGATAGAAGCTTTAAAGTTTAAAAAATAGTTACCTACAAAGAAAGAGGAGAAATGATGGGGGTGTTGAAGTAGCTTTTTTCTGAACTTTGCAAGCTTCGTTCTCCTAGCTCCGGCTACTAAAATGGATGCTTAAGGATGATTTGGAAAGAGGAGGTTGTCATCTACGGATCTGGAGCAGATGGTGTATTGATTCACAAAGGTTTGAGAGAAATTGATCAACAAAGTGAGCTCAGACAAGGTTTTGTTGCTAAAATTTTCAAGTGTTGAAAATTTTAACTTTGGAAAATGTAATTTGTGCAGAGGTTCTAGGGGCCTCTGAGTGCTTGAGAATGAATGAAAATGATGCTCCATTTATAGAAGAGTGAGAGAGCTAGGGTTTTGGTGAATTTGGGCTTTTTGCATGGATTTTGCCCATGATCCAATTCCAATCCAATTTGCATGTTTTAATTTGAGCCTTTGATGTAATTAGATGAGTATTTGATTACTAATTAGAGTGAAATTCGTGTGCATGTGCTGAAGGGTGAAAATTGATCATTTTGCATTCCACTCACAAATTGCAATAATACCATCCATGTCCCAATGACAAGTTTTTGTGATTTTGGTCCAATTGGAGCTTGCCACTTGTCCATTCTGAGTAATTGAGGTATACTAATGACAACTAGTAACAATTCAATGATTACTTAACATCACCCCACCACAAACCAAGTGATTTGCAAGTAAAATGCAAATTTGGGTCAAAACTTGCAATTTGACAAATGGGTCTGAATTGAGGTACCAAACTGATATACACACCTCTAATTCATGTATTAGAAAGTGTTTGAATGATCACTTGGGTCTGAAATTAAGTGTAGCAAGAATTGACCTTTGATTTGCAAATTGACATAATGACGTTTTGAGCAAATGGGGGGTGCCATGATGAAGCAAAGGGGCTGCACTAAAATGGACCAAAAACAGAATTTTTAGAGCATATTTAGAGTGTGTTTGAACATTAATTTAGGCTTGAAACATAGAATTGGGCCATAGGCTTCAAAAGTTGGCTTTTAAGCTTGAAATTTGACATGTAGGTACCAAATGATGATGTGAATAGAGTAGACCTCAAGTAACCTTCCACACACAATTCAAATGCACAATAGAAGCTTGCAAAGTTCACCTTTGAACCCAAAAAGACCCCAAACCAAAAATGGCATAGTGACATAAAAATGCCACTTTTTGACATAGTGCAAATCACATGCCTCATTCCAATCCATGAATGTTTGATGGTAAATGACCAAAAAAAGATCCATATCATGTATAAGTGGTGGTGTAGCAACTTTCATTTGACCCCAAAAGTTGTCGGAATCGCCATTTCGGAAATTGGCCTCTTCGTTACTTTACCTGCAAGTCACAAATTCAACACTGAAGCAAATGACCTCAATTTGGAAATTGGACTTCAACATCACTCTTAGAATGTCCAACATACTCAAAAAACTCTAGTGGTTTGTCAAAAAACTCGAAAAAATGAAAACTACCCAAAATGGCAAAAATGCGGCAGTGTCACTATTCACCGGAAATTCCAAAAATGGAAATTTTCAGAAAACACCTCCGATTCTCAAAATTTCAAAGCCAATAGTCTTAGAATGTCAAGAATGAATGAAATTCATCGTTGGTTCGGTCTTCACACCTCTAGAATCGCGCAAATCAGAGTTAACTTCCTCAATAAGTCGCCTCGTCAATACCCTTGAAAACGGTCCGAATCTGGGAAGTTGATCGGCCTCCGGAAGTTGATCGGACCAGTCGATCCCTTAGAAACCCTAACTCTCAAGAAACTGCATCCAAGAATTTTGTACCTGGAAACTTGTGGCACATTATTCAAACATGATAAAACATCAACAAAACAAAGTATGGAATCCACAAATGCCAAGAGAAACCTGTGAAACAAACAAACAGAGAGACCTCCAATGATCAATCAGGGATCATAGCTTGTGACCTCAAACTTTGCACTTGAACTGAAAATATATGGATGAAATATGCTAATGATGAATGAATTCTTAGGGGTCAAAATAGGGTTATGACACAAACAAAGATATGTCAAAATGCCACGGGTGTCACAAGCGAACGAGTCGTCAACCCTAGGTTTAAGAAGAGACCAAGAGGGAACCACTTAGACCATGCTTGTGATATCTTTCAGGAATTTTTGATGCAATGAATGAACTATATGAATGAATCTTAGGGGGTCAAAAATAGGGTTATGACTATTGCCCCTATCGAAATACTCTTCAGCCATGAGAGCATTAGACCGATAGTTTGTTTGATTGAAATGACTGAGAGTATTTCGATACAGAATACCTGATTTTTGTCCACTAAGATGAATGAATGCATTTACTGTAAATAATGAAACATTTTTTTTCTTTTTTATGCATATGCTGATGTGATGCCAATGTAGTGAGACAGGAATACAAAGATATTTTAATACGAGAAGTGATAAAAGACACAAAGGTAACATTCTAAATAAAAGGATAAACTGCAAAGCTAAAAATTCTGCTCTTTAGTCCAAGTCTTTCTCCAGGAGGGCATAGACAAATTTACCCTGTCCTCAGAGATCCTCAGATCCATAAGTCGTTATCTTTCTGCCTAAAACTGAGTTCTATTGCTTTCGTGTCAGCAAACACTCCTTCTTCTTCAGGTATTTCTCCCGTCGAAGGCATAAATGACCTCACAAAAATAGAGGGGCTTTCATCTGAACAATGCCCGTGTAAGGGACTTTTACTGATTGTAACAACTTAATTTCCTATTTAAAGGACTTTGATTAAGCTTCCCAACTTCCTCGGTATTAACCTCGAAAGGGACTCGGCTTATTCCACTGAAACCTCCCAACTTCCTTGACCTTCGTCAGAAAGGGACTCGGTTTCACAAATATGCATTCCGCTGTTGATGTCCTGCTAATGACTTTACTGGGGACAAAACTTAGTCTAGCTGGGAATTGCCGAAGTTCAATCCAGGAACAAACTGGAAAGAAACTGTCAACAAATACAATGACTGAAGACTTAATTTTAATTGAATAGAGGATTCAACTCTACTGGGGATAATTCCTGATGTGGAAAAGATCCGACGAAGGATGACTCTTTGGGGAACAATGCAACTGGATAAAATTTCAATTATCAATGCAATGATTTTGTTTGAGTGTATGGTTTGTTCAATGCATGCAATGTGATGTGAATGCTGACAAAACTGTACACTTGACTTTGTGGGGATAGACATGACCACAAGATTTTTGATGGAACACCGGTATCCAACACGAGAAACCTGTCAACATCTGTCTGATCATACCAAAACCGGTACAATATTTGAGGCTTCTGTCTTGTCCGGGGTGTAAACCCTGAGAACCCGAACTCTGTTAGGGATTAAATTATGAAAATTCCACTTGGCCCGAGAATAAATTCCGCTTGGGGAAAGAGGGAGCCTAGAGAGGATATCTAGCTAACTAGGGAATAATACTGCAGGAGAGATGTTTCATGATCGAACTCGCAAGAGGATTTCACCGATCATGATCTACAAAGCTCATGCTGGGAAAACATCTTAAAACTCTTATTTGGGGATACAGGGATCCAAAATCCGTTGGGGAGAACATGCAAACTCCGTTGAGGATACCCAAGTGATTCTGATCCGCTGAGGAAAAAATGTATGACTTCGCTGGGGACAGATACCAAATCTGCCGGGAATGAATCTGATTTACCGGGGAATACTTGGAACATACTCTGTTTGAGAAGCTTTTCCGGGGAGACCAAATATCTGGACTCAGCTGGGGATATTATCTGTCGTCTACTAGAGGTGAGTCACAAACTCTTATGAGGAATCAACTCCGCTGGGGATGGAAGAACAATCCTGACTGCTGGGGAGACCAGGACTCTCTCGAATCTGCTTGGGGACAAATATCCATTATCTGCTGGAGATAGAACGAGATACTGCAAAGGAAAATAATTATGAACTGTGGGGATGCCCCGAGTCCGTGGCTACACAAAAGAAATGATCAAACTTCGTTGCTGGTGAGGATTTCACAGATACATTTCTACAACTTGTCGGTGGTCTTCGGGGAGGAAAGAGCACACTCCACCGGGGAAAATGCCAATCTCGCGATCTATTCAAAACCGAAGGCAACGACTCAGGACACAACTACGAAACGGGACGTGTCAAACGACCGTATTGAGGAAACCAATATTGTATGCATAGTCATAGTAATTTTGGAAGATTTTTTTTTGAAAACAATTTTGAACTTTAAAAGCAATGCTGCAACAATTTAACAAGTAAAATAAAAGTAAAATTTATGCAAAAAGAAGTAGGAGCATAAGCTGATTTATTGCAAAATGGATTTTTATTAGAAGAATGGTAGTTCATCGAAGACGAATCTCCAAGATTTTTGTTTTTACAAGAGTGGGAAACAGTAAATGGGAAAGGTTTACATTAAGCACAATGACCATATTCCTTTAACTAAGCTTCTAACATTCAGGCTGGTCTTCTGACGATGCGAGTCTTTCGAGCTGAACCTTGACTGAATCTTGTGGATACAATTACTTGCCTTTTTTATCCCTTGTTTTGTGTAAACTTCCTCAAAGGGTTTTCAATTTACCGTGATTTTTCTGTTTTATGCCCCTAATTATTTCCTGGACCGCTCTTTCGGGTTTTCGATCCACCGGGACGCTCTTTTTTGCATAAGCTTCCCTTTCGGGTTTTCGACCTATCGAGTTGTTCTTTTGTTTTTTAGGCAAATTACTTTTCCTCTCCGTCCATAGTTGTCGGTATGAGAGCACCTCCTGAGAAAGAGTGTTTCACCATATATGGTCCCTCATAGTTCAGAGTCCACTTCCCACGAGCGTCGTGCTGCGTAGGTAAGATTATTTTGAGCACCAAGTCTCCCTCCACGAATTGTCGAGACTTTACCCTTTTATCGAAAGCTTTCTTAAATCTGTGTTGGTAGAGCTGACCTTGGCAGAGGGCTTTCAGGCGCTTCTCTTCAATCAGATTTAGCTGGTCATATCTGCTTTGGCACCACTCAACATCAGTCAATTTGACTTCCATCAGCAATCGCATTGACGGGATCTCCACTTCAATCGGGAGCACAACTTCCATCTCGTACACCAAGGAGAAGGGGGTTGCCCCTGTTGAGGTTCGTACAGAAGTCCGGTACTCATGTAAGGCATATGGAAGTATGTCATGCCAATCCTTGTATGTCACAACCGTCTTCTGTAGAATCTTCTTGATGTTCTTGTTAGCAGCTTCTACATCATCGTTCATCTTCGGTCTGTAGGGGGAGGAGTTGTGGTGCTCGATCTTGAACTCTTCGCACAATTCAGCCACCAGATTGTTGATCAGATTTGAACTGTTGTCCGTTATAATCTTGTTTGGTACACCGTACCGACTGATGATATTGTTTTTTATGAAGCGCATCACAACCTGTTTGGTGACATTGGCATAGGAAGTCGCCTCAATCCACTTTGTAAAGTAATCAATCACTACCAGGATGAAGCAATGACCGCTTGAAACCTTGGGCTCTATCATTCCTATCATGTCAATGCCCCACATTGCGAAGGGCCACGGATAGGAGGTCACATTAAGAGGAGTATGAGCAACGTGGATCCGGTCAGCATAGATCTGAAACTTATGGCACTTCCTTGCAAAGTCAAAGCAATCTGTCTTCATAGTGATCCAGTAATAGCCAGCCCTCAGAAGCTTTCTAGCCATGGAATGCCCGTTGGGGTGAGTACCGAAGGTTCCTTCATGCACATCAACCATCAATAGGTCTGCCTCGTGCTTGTCCATGCATCTGAGCAAGACTATATCGAAGTTTCTCTTGTAAAGCACACCTTCACTCAACAGAAAGTTTGCAGCCATTCTTCTTAGCGTCTTCTTATCCTTCTTGGATGCCCCAAGTGGATACTCTTGTTTTTGTAATAAGCACTTGATGTCATAGAACCATGGTTTGCCATCCTTGGTCTCCTCCACATTAAAGATATAAGGAGGTTGGTCATGCCTCTTGATTGTAATATCAGGAGTCTCGTTCCAGAACTTGACATGGTACATGGAAGAGAGAGTTGCCAGAGCATCCGCCATTTGGTTCTCTTCCCTCGGGATGTGGTGGAACTTGACATCAGTGAAGAAAGTTGCGATCCTTCTTGCATAGTCTCTGTATGGTATCAACCTCAGGTTCCTCGTCTCCCATTTGTCATTTATCTGGTTGATTACCAAAGCTGAGTCACCGAAGACGTCCAGATACTTGATTCTCAAATTGATGCACTCTTCCAAGCCAATGATGTAGGCTTCATATTTAGCAACATTATTGGTACAGTCAAATGCAATCCTTGTTGTGAAGGGTATATGTGCACCAATTGGGGTAATGACCACTGCCCCTATTCCACTGCCGTGTTGATTTACCGCTCCATCAAACACCAATCCCCAACGGGAGTCTGGCTCGGGTCCTTCATCAAGAGGAGTTTCATTGTTGTCTCGCATAGTGAGGTCAAACACTTCTTCATCTGAGAACTCATAGTCTTCCCCTTCATCATCTTCAATGGGTTGATCTGCCAAGAAATCTGCCAATAGCATCTGCCACCGGGCAATCCTACCAGTCAGTGCAGGATTTTCAAATATATACTTGATAGGATCCATGCGTGAAATCAACCAGGTTGTGTGATTAACCATGTACTGCCGCAGACGCTTAGCGGCCCAAGCCAAAGCACATCAAGTTCTCTCGAGCAGGGAATATCGAGTTTTGTAGTCATTGAATTTCTTGCTGAGGTAGTAGATTATGTGATCTTTCTTGCTAGACTCATCCTTTTGCCCCAGTACACAACCCATGGAGTCGTCCATCACTGTCAAGTACATTATCAACAGTTGGCCATCAACCGGCAGAGACAAGATAGGTGGCTTCTGCAAATAATCTTTTATACTATCAAACGCTTGTTGACAGTCTTCATCCCACACGATTGCTTGGTTCTTTCTCAGAAGTTTAAAGATTGGGGCACATGTGGCAGTCATGTGCGCGATGAATCTGGAGATATAGTTCAAACGACCCAGAAATCCACAGACTTGCTTCTCAGTCTTGGGAGCTGGCATGTCTCTGATGGCTTTGACTTTGTCAGGGTCTACTTCAATCCCTTTTTGGCTGACAATAAAGCCAAGCAACTTCCCAGATCTGACCCCAAAGGTGCACTTGTTTGGATTCAGGCAAAGCTTGTATTTTCGCAGACGCTTGAACAATTTCAGAAGGTTCTCGACATGTTCTTCCTCAGAATGTGACTTAGCAATCATGTCGTCCACATACACCTCTATCTCTTTGTGCATCATCTCGTGGAACAGAGTAGTCATAGCTCTCTGATAAGTGACGCCTGCATTCTTCAACCCGAAGGGCATCACTCTGTAGCAGAATGTTCCCAAGGGCATAATGAAGGTGGTTTTTTCCATGTCATTTGGCGCCATCTTAATCTGACTATAGCCAGAGAACCCGTCCAAGAATGAGAACACGTTATAGCTAGTTGTGTTGTCAACGAGGGTGTCAATGTGGGGTAAAGGGAAATCATCTTTAGGGTTGGCCCGATTCAAATCCCTGTAATCGACACACATTCGAACTATCCCATCTTTCTTCGACACAAGAACAATATTTGCAACCCACTCCGGATAAACTGTTATGGCAAGAAAACCTACGTCGATCTGCTTCTAGACTTCTTCTTTGATCTTTAAGGCCACGTCTGGGTGTGACCTCCTCAGCTTCTGCTTGAGTGGAGAGAAATCAAGCTTCAATGGCAGTCTATGCTCCACAATGTCAGTGTCCAACCCCGACATGTCTTGGTAGGACCAAGCAAATACGTCTGAGTACTCTTTGAGTAGATTGACCAACTGTTCTTTGACAACCGGATCCAACAATCCTTCGACTTTGACTTCTCTTCTATCTTCCTTAGATCTCAAGTTAACTAGCTCTAGAGGCTCTTGGTGAGGCTGGAGGCATCTGTCTTCGTTGTCGAGCAGTCGGGTGATCTCTTCAGGAATCTCCTCTTCTTCTGCCTCTTCAGCCTCATACACTGGACATTCGAAGTTAGGAAGAAGTGCAGGGTCATTGTGCTCAATGTTTGGTTCTGTATTTATTATTCTGCACATGAGTGATGATTTACTTTCAGAGACTGACCAAAAAATGTTTCATATGCAGATATTTTGAAAAGTATTTGTTTATTTTTTGTCTTTTTTGAAATGTTTTATTTTAGTTACTATTTCCCTGAAAAAGGTAAAAATAAAAATAGACACAAATTTGGAAAAGTAATGGATACTTTTATTGAATTTGATAAAAATCTACAGACATGGTGGCCCTTACAAAATGCGAATCCGCCTTGGGCAGAGCGGACCGCGAGAATGCTTAAAATATGCGGTAAATAAAACATTAGAATTCACAAAAATTACTCGGACGCATGCATTATGACGGGCAGTTCACTGGACAACCAGTTGTCCTCACAATCGCCATTGTCACGTGTTATGAAGTTGTAGTCTGCATCATTTCTTTCTTCTGATGCTGCGTAGGAGTCTTGAAGAAATCCTCCACTGAGAAAAGACACTTCTTTGATAACCTTCAAGCTCTTGATCTTGCCATGGGTCTGAAACCCCAAACATGTTCTTGTCTCGTTGGAGGGTAGTTGCACAATCTTCCCCCAATGCTGGGTCTTCCCTTCTTGGATAATTCTTTGAGCATCTCTCAAAGATGCCAAAGGTGATATCTCTTGATCATCGACCTTTACAGCATGTGCTATCTCTAGCCCCTAGAAGTGTGTGGCAACTGAGTCTTCATCCACCTCGACATACCGGTATGAACCGAGTGAACTTATCATAAGAGCTTCTTCTCCGAACACAACATTCAACTTTGATCCTTTGATGAACTTCAGTCTTTGTGAAGTGTAGAGGTTACAACACCAGCGATGTGAATCCAAGGCCTACCCAACAAACAGCTGTATCCAGGATGGATGTCCATTACCTGGAACTTGATTTGGAATACATACGGGCCTATTTTCACCGGTAACACAACCTCCCCCTTCACAGTCTGTCGGGACCAATCGAAAGCTTTAACAATGATATCACTGGCCTCGAGGTGAGAACCATTATACATTAGCTTGTCCAGTGTTTTCCTCGGGAGAACATTCAATGAGGAACCTGTATCCACCAGCACATGGGATAATGAATCCTTCTCACACTTCATGGAGATATAAAGAGCCATATTATGATATTTTCCCTCTGCGGGCAGCTCGCTATCATCAAAGGTCAAAGA